ATGAGTATGTGGCTTCTCCAGTGTGTGGATGAGCCGGTGTCGGGTCAGGCTGGAAAATCGGCTGAAGCTCTTCCCACACTGTGAGCACTGATGTGGCTTCTCCCCTGTGTGGATGAGCCAGTGTCGGGTCAGGCTGGAAGATCGGGTGAAGCTCTTCCCACACTGCGAGCACTGATGCGGCTTCCCTCCTGTGTGGATGAGGCGGTGCTGGGTCAGGTTGGAGGACTGGGTGAAGCTCTTCCCACACTCCAAGCACTGATATGGCTTCTCTCGCATGTGATTAGTCTGGTGCTGGGCCAGGCTGGAGAGCTGTCTGAAGCTCTTCCCACACTCTAAGCACTGGTGTGGCTTCTCCCCGCTGTGGATGAGCCGGTGTTGGGTGAGGCTGGAGGACTGGGTGAAGCTCTTCCCACACTCTGAGCACTGATATGGCTTCTCTTGCGTGTGAATAAGCCAGTGCTGGGCCAGGCTGGAGAGGTATCTGAAGCTCTTCCCACACTCTGAGCACTGATAAGGCTTCTCTCCTGTGTGGATGAGCCAGTGTCGGGTCAGGCTGGAGGACTGGGTGAAGCCCTTCCCACACCTGGTACATATGTGGAGCTTCTCTCCAGTGTGCCTTATCTTGTGAAGAGCCACAAGTGATGGGCAGTCAAGGGTTTTCCTGATTTCGGGGCAGGGGAGGGTTCTGCCCCAGTGAACGGCAATGAGCTCCTGCTTTCCTCTGAGGCCCTCCGCACTGCCTTGGTTTGGATGTAGTGCCTCTTTCCAGTGGCTCTTCATGTCTCTCAGCTCCACACATTCTTCCTTGCACCCAGGGATGTTTCTCAGATCTGCCCCTTCTCCACTCTCACACCCAACTGGAGATGATACCTGGTTCACTGTTACATTCTCCTTCTGCTTTTTGGGCCTCCCTGGGCTCTTTTGCCATTGCTCTCTCTCGGGTCTCAGGGAGACTATCTGTCCTAGACTCCCTGGGAAAGTTCGTGGTGGCACCAGGTCTGCAGGTCCTTCAACAGGAATCTGCTCCTCAGCTCTGCTCAGCAGCCAAGCACCTGCTGCATGGGGAAGAGAAACTCCAGATTAGCCCATACCCTGCTGGCAAGTGGCAAACACTGCTATTCCTTCTGCTGGGATGGGCACAGGCCTGGACCTTGGCACTTATGTTCCCCCAACAAAACAAGGTCTTCCTGCCAAAACCCCAAATGCTGGACACAATGGAGGGGCAGGTCCCGGTGTTGAGCTAATGGTCCAAACTCCATGCAGTTCAGAGTTTTTTGCCCACCCGTCAGCCTCATCATCTCAGGCCCTGCTAAGAGAAGCACAAGTGGGAGATGTGCATTATGACAGTACCTGAATAGCTTCATGCTATAATGGGTTGAGGACGAGGGGAGGACCTAGAGCTGTGGCCTCTCTTCTGAAAGGAGTAGGGCTGTGCTTCCTGCCTGCTTCCAGGACAAGGTCTGGTGCAGGGAATGAGCCCATGGAGCTTTCCCCTGTTGAAGGATCCCAGGTGGCCTCCCTGTCACAGGAGTCTGCTTCAGATCTAATGCCTTGGCATGAGCTTGAACCTGGACTCCGTGGTATCTCAAGCTTCTTGACACCCAGGGCCCCAGAGAAGAGACACAAAGCGGGGTATTCTGGTGCAAACCATGGGGGATTCATGTCCCCCCCACAACCTGAAAGCTTCTGAATCCCACACATGCCATGGAGCCATGTCATGCAGCCTGAGACCAGGATGAAACATTTCCTGGGTTCCAGGTCAACCTGATCAGGAGAGGAAAGGGAGAGCCTTAGCTTCTTTCTTGTCCAGCAGTGACAGCTACACAGAGCCTCTGCATACCATCCTGATTTCCATGGGGGACTACAAATCCCATCCTTCCCTGGAAGAAGGTGGTAGAGAGGTATAGCTACCTTGGGCTGGGGAATGAACTCTTACACTGGTGAGTGAAGATGGAAATTTAAGATCACTGTATCTCAGGGAAACTCGATTGGGCAAAAAAAATCAAGACAGCAAACCTGATTGCCCTGTAACATCTGTCATTTCCTGGAGGAGAAGGGAACAGCTGCTTGTCTCCACATGGTTGAATTTCAGGGCGTGGAAACAACACTTGCCTGGACACACTACTGCATAATGTGCTGTGTTTGAGGTCAGCACCCTGCAAGGGCAGCACAGGGCAAGTCTGTAGTTTCCAGGTCCCCCTGGCACTCTGGGCACGACGCATTTCTGAGAGCAAAGTCGGGTGGAGGGGTCAGCCACAACTCACCTGGCAGCAGCTCCTCTGACCTTGAGATTTTCCCACGGGTCTCATCATCACAGCCCCAGAGCTCCACCTGTCCTTGCTGGATGCTGCAGATTAAGGCAGGTGTGGGACCTCGATATCCTGTTTGGGGCAGTGGGTAAAGAGGGTTAGTAATTAGGTACTGGATGCAGAATCATCAGCTGGGATTTGGGGAATGGATCCCAGGAACTCATGCTTTCTATTAGGGCCTTGGTGGACAAGGGAGAACAGGCATTTACGAAAGAGAAGGCACTGCAGGAAGAAGCCTTCAACAGACAGTAGTACTGGCCACCCAGGTACAGGCAGTCCTTGGACTTGGAACACAATTGGTTCCTGAAAAATCACATCTTAATTCGAAACGTTGCAACTCGGAACTGATTTTTCCAAAGGCACAACGTTATAAATGGGGGATTGGTTCCTGAACAAAGGCCCGATACCCTATTTTCACCAAAAATAACCCAGAATTTTGTACTCAATAAATTACAGCTGAGTAACATAGCTACATTAAGCTACACTATTTGTGTTGGTCTAATAAAAGATATCAGATTCACCCAAGGAACCTTGTCTGCCTATAGCTACATTAATGCATTTATGTTGAAAATGTCAATTATATTGGTTTTGAAGGACTTTTTTGAGGTGGCTTTGCTGGACTTTTTGAAGGATTCTTGGTTGGAGCCTTCTCAGAAGTCTTGTCTCTTTTCTTAAAGAAAGCGTCCAAGGAAGTCTGGGGAGATGTTCTCCAGGGAGATGAGCGGCGCAGAGAACTTGTTCAGTGGCATGGTGTTGCATCAGATCAAGCGTTGTAAAGTCAAAACTTACATCAGAAAGTTAAAATAGGGTGTCAATTTATAAACGATGTAAGTGCTGTTCATTGTAACTCAAAATATTGTAAGTCGAGGACCGCCTGTAGTGGAGGGATGGTAATAGGAAACAAAACACCAGCCACTCTGACTTAGAAAAGACATTAGCCAGGGACGGGCATGGAGATGCAATGATCCATGATGTACAGTAAAAGCTGTTATCCGGCATCCCCTGGGAATGGGGGATGCTGGATAACAAAATATGCTGGTTAATTGAGCGGCCCCAGCTGCTGCTTCTCCCTCCACATCTGGGGCATCCCTCTGCCCCTCCCGTGGCATCATCACCCCTCCTGCAGTCCCTGTGGGCCCCGTGGGACAGGGAAGCAGGCCCTGCACAGCCCCGTGCAACCTGTTTTGCCCCCACACTGTGGGGGCTCGGCAGTGCAGGCTGCTTTGCCCCAGGCCATGGGGGCTCAGAGAAACTAGAAGTGCCGCGGTGGGCACTTCTGGTTTCACTTTTCCTTACAAGCCGGCATGCTGGTTAGTGGAGCATGCCAGCTTGTACGGTGCCGGTTACTGGAGAGTTTACTGTACTAGAGAGCAGAAAGATAATTTTTTTTACTATTTTCAAGGTAGCAAACAGAAGAGATATTGGATACTCTTATGGATGGATAACATCTATCTTATCAGTGTAATTCCAGGAAAAGTAGCCACAAGTATCAAGGACAATAAAACGTCCTTTTTTAGATATGTGGGGACTCGGAGGAAAAGCAAGGGCAACATCGAACCCCTGCTAAACCAGATGGGACAACTGACGCCCAAGGAAAAGCCAACTTGCTAAACGGGTACTTTGCGTCGGTCTTTCACCAGTCCCATGGGATGTCCCTGTCCATTATGGGACGGGAAGGCCTGCCTTACCCCCCCATCAATGCTGACCTCGTGAAGGAACACCTTGAGAGGCTGGACACCTTCAAGTCAGCTGGCCTTGACAGTTTACACCCCAGGGTACTCAAGGAGCTGGCCAGCATCATAGCTCAGCCCCTGGCATGGATCTTCGAGAAGTCGTGGTACTCTGGTGAAGTGCCCGCAGACTGGAAGAAGGCCAATGTGGTGCCTATCTTCAAGAAAGGGAGGAAAGTAGATCTGGAAAACTACAGGCCCATCAGCCTGACTTCTATCCTGGGGAAAGTCTTAGAAAAGATTATCAAAGAGACCATTCTTAACAGACTGGCTGATGGCAACATCCTGAGGGATAGTCAGCACGGGTTTGTTGCGGGTAGGTCTTGCCTGACCAATCTCATTTCCTTTTATGACCAGGTGACCTATCACCTGGACAAGGGAGATGTCATATATCTTGACTTTAAAAAAGCCTTTGATCTGGTATCCCATGATCACCTCTTGGCAAAACTGTCTAACTGTGGCCTCGGCCACACCACGATACGCTGGCTGGGGAACTGGCTCTGTGGTCGGACCCAGAGCGTGGTGGTTGATGGAAGTCAATTGTCGTGGTGCCCTGTGACCAGTGGGGTCCCTTGAGACTCTGTCTTAGGGCCCATAATATTCGACATTGTAACAGGGACTCAGTCAGGAGACCTATTACTTAGGCAGGCTCAGGGAAGAGCGACCAGTGAATGCACCCTGCCAGGTGGAAGGAATTTCACACCTGAGAGAAGATCGGGTGATTAGCCCACAAAAAATGAGAGAGAAAGCTGGCATCGGGACATTGACTGATTGCCTTCGGGCACAAGAAGACAAGCACAGGGTTAATCAAGATCCCAAGAAAATAGAAGAAGTGAAAAGGATTCTGACTTGCGATCCTGGAGAGAGCCGTGAGGTTGGGACTCCAGAAGACAGGTCAGATGCAAGACGGACGACTGGCCAGGGAATTGGGCTGCATTTGGTGAGCGCGGGAAAGCCCTGAGGCATCAGGAAGCGGCTCTGCCCATGCGTAGATGAAAGACTGTCTACGAGACAATTCACGGGGAGGCAGGAGTTAAGAGAAGTCCCTGACCCTGCTGGGGCAACAACTGCTTAGAAAACTACAGAACAAACTAGACGAGAGGAGCAGGGGGTAAAGAATAAAAGACGCAAAAGAATGCACTGCACTAATGCACTAATGAAGTAATTGGTGGTGGAAGCTATTTAGTTACAATGTATCTTTGAAGTAGCAATACAGAGCTCCCTTTACCTGCAAAGCAGGATGTCCTTGCCAATGATGTAATCGGCCAGGCTTTTGATATCGTATCTGTTATTTTGGAAAATAAGCTCTCACCTTGAGCATTTAACATCAGGGTGGCATTTATCAATCATAAACATCAAAGCACACTGATCTCCTTCCTTTTTCTTACAAAATCCAAGTCGTGGCAGGTGGGTACAGAGGAGAGAAGAGGCTAAGATCACCCTACATGCTCACAAACATCTTCATTAATGATGTGGACATTGGTATCAGAAGCAGACTGGCCAAGTTCACCGATGACACCAAACTTTGGGGTAAAGTGTCCACACCCAAGGACAGGAGGGTGATCCAGGCAGATCTTGACAGGCTCAGCAAATGGGTGGACGAAAACCTGATGGTGTTTAACACTGATAAATGCAAGGTTCTCCACCTTGGGAGGAAAAACCTGCAGCATGCTAATAGGCTCGGCAGTGCTATGCTGACTAGCACTACGGACGAGAGGGACGTGGGGGTCATCATTGACCACAAGATGAACATAAGCCTTCAATGCAATGCTGAGGCTAGTAAAGTGACCAAAATGCTGGCTTGCATCCATAGATGCTTCTCAAGCAAATCCCAGGATGTCAGCCTCCCGCTGTACTCAGCCTTGGTGAGGCCACAGCTGGAGTACTGCGTCCAGTTCTGGGCTCCACATTTCAGAACTATGTGGAGAAGCTTGAGAGAGTCCAGAGAAGAGCCACGCGCATGATCAGAGGTCAGGGGAGCAGACCTTACAACAACAGGCTGAGAGCCCTGGGGCTCTTCAGTCTGGAAAAGTGAAGGCTCAGGGGTGATCTGATGGCCACCTACAAGTTTATCAGGGGTGACCACCAGCATCTGGGGGAATGTCTGTTCACCAGAGCGCCCCAAGGGAGGACAAGGTTGAACGGTCACGAACTCCTCCATGACTGTTTCAGGATAGACATAAGGAAGAACTTCTTTACTGTCCAAGCCTCCAAGGTTTGGAATAAACTGCTGCCGGAGGTGGTTCAAGCACCTACTTTGAATGCCTTCAAAAGACATTTGGATGTTTATCTTGCTGGGATCCCATGATCCCCTGCTGACTTCCTGTCCCTGGGGCGTGGGACTGGACTCCATGATCTTCCGGGGTCCCTTCCAGCCCTAATGTCTATGAAATCTATGAAATACATTAATGTATTTATATTGTAAATAGCAATCATATTGATTTGGAAGGACTTCTTTGTGGTGACTTTGCTGGACTTTTTGAAATCTTCTTGGTTGGACTTTCTGCAGGTTTCTTGGCTGAAGTCTTCTCAGGAGTCCTGGCTGCAGTTTTTTTTTCTGGAGTCTTATCTGCTTTCTTAAAGAAAGTGTCCGAGGAAGTTTGGACAGATGTTCTCCAGGGAGATGAGCTACGCAGTGAACTTGTTCGCTGGCGTGGCATCGCATTGGATCAAGCGTTGTAAAGTTGAAACTGACGTGATGAAGCTGAAACAGGGTGTCCATTTATAAACGCTGTAAGTGCAAAACCTTGTAACTCGAAACATTGTAAGTCGAGGACTGCCTGTACCTCAACCCTGAGCGCAAGCCAAAACAAGCCCTTGTATTAGGGATCCTCGGAAATGAAAACTGGTTCTTACTAGGCCCTGCACCTAGCCCGCTTCTTTTGATCTCAGTGATGGGCATCTGATCCGGGGAGGGATTTTAGGAAGAAGACAAGAAAACTTTTGAGAATGGCAGAGTGAGCTTGAGAGCACAGGTCTTAACGTAACTACAGCAAAGCCAGGGTCTCCAAAGAAGGAGAAAGGAGATTTAGACATCACAGAACTGAGCATGCTAGGATTGTTAAATGTGTTTGCAGAGCAAACAGTAGGACAGAGGACGGAAATCAGACTCGTCCTCAAAGGACAGCTCTTGATTCATTTATGTACAATGAACTGAAGATGGTATGAACACACTGACAAGACAGAGGAAAATCATGTTGCAAAGGAAACGTGAAGAAAATCATGATATGATGCTCTTCACTCCAGGGGGCTGAGGGAATTAGCAGGGGTCGTAGCAGGGCCCCTGGAACGGCTATTACATGCACTCGTGGTGCTGTGCCAGAGGACTAGAAAAGGGCCAATGCGGTCCCCATTTTCAGAAAGGGGAGGAAGGAGGACGCAGGTAACTATAGGCCCCTTAGTGTTAACTTGGTCCTGGGGAAGCTCTTTGAGAAAATTATCCAGGAGCACATCTGCGCGGGACCAGCAGGGGAGGTGATGCTCAGGAGCAACCAACACGGGTTCATTAGAGGCAGGTCCTGTCAGACCAACATGGTGACCTTCTATGACCAGGTCACAAAATCCTTGGACGCAGGTGTCGCAGTGGATGTAGTCTTTCTGGACTTTAGGAAGGCCTTCAACACTGTCTCTCACCCCATCCTCATTAAAAAATTAGGCGACTGTGGTGTCGATCCCTACACAGTGAGATGGGTCACTAACTGGCTGGAGGGCCGCACCCAGAGAGTGGTGGTGGACGGATCATTTTCGACCTGGAGGGATGTGGGCAGTGGGGTCCCCCAGGCCTCGGTTCTCGGGCCTGCACTGTTCAACATCTTCATCAACGACTTGGACGAGGGGGTGAAAAGCACCCTGTTCAAGTTCACAGATGACACTAAGATGTGGGGAGAAGTGAGCACGCTAGAAGGGAGGGACAGGCTACAACTAGATCTGGACAGGTTACAAGGGTGGGCGGATGAGAATAGGATGGGTTTCAACACTGACAAGTGCAAGGTGCTGCACCTGGGGAGGAAGAACCAGCAGCAGACCTACAGGCTGGGGAACTCCCTTCTCGTCAGTGCAGAGGCAGAAAAGGATCTTGGAGTCATTATTGATACCAATACGAACATGGGCCGACAGTGTGGGATGCGGTCAGGAAGGCCAACCACACCTTGTCATGAATCCACAGATGCATCTCGAGCAGGTCCAAGGAGGTGATCCTCCCCCTCTATGCGACACTGGTCAGGCCGCAGCTGGAGTCCTGCATCCAGGTCTGGCGCCGCACTTCAGGGGGGATGTGGACAGCATGGAGAGGGTCCAGAAGAGGCCACCCGCATGATCAGGGGGCAGCAGGGCAGGCCTGACGAGGAGAGGCTACGGGACCTGAACCTGTTCAGCCTCCACAAGAGAAGGCTGAGAGGGGATCTGGTGTCCATCTATAAACTTACCAGGGGGGACCAGCCGGCAATGGGAGAGGCCTTGTTCCCCTGAGCACTCCCAGGAGTAACGAGGAACAACGGCCACAAGTTGATTAAGAGTAGGTTCAGGCTAGACATCAGGAGGCACTACTTCACAGTCAGGGCAGCTAGGACCTGGAACCAACTTCCAAGGTAAGCGATGCTTGCTTCTACCTTGGAGGTCTTCAAAAGGAGGCTAGACAATCACCTAGCTGAGGTCATTTGATTCCAGGATTCATTCCTGCCCATGGCAGGGAGTCGGACTTGATGATCTGCTCAGCTCTGGCCTAAACAACTATGCAAATGCTGAGCATGGAAGCACCAGGAGTTGTAATAATGGGGAAGACACAAGTGAAGGCAGCTGGATCAAATGAAGGAGGAAATATCAATATGAAATGTGAGAGGTCTGATCACTAACATACCAGTGGGGAGGAAGTAGACTTAAGCCACCAGACCAAAGTTCATGATGATGAGACTATTGAAACACAGGGAGGTGACTATGAATCATCAGACTCCACACAGCTCCACAAAGCAGCAAGAACTTTACCCAGGGAAACGAGGGCTTGGTAATTCTTTAGCATCTGGTCCCAGTAAAGCACCTTGTCTTCTTCTTCCAGCAGCTCCCACTCCTCCCACGTGAAATACACTGCCACGTCCTCAAACACCTCCCGGAGCTGCGGGCACAAGCATTGCACCATCAGTGTCTCCTGGGCCAGCTGCTCCCAGCCCCACGGCCCTGTCTGCAATCACTCGGCACTACAGCTCATTGCAGGCTTAGCCAGGACAGGCAGGGCTGCAACATCCCGTTACTCAGCTGACACACGAGGTGGATGCAGCTGTGGACATGGGAGCTCACGTGTGGGCCTCAGCCCAGCTCATCACTGTCTGTCAGCTCGGTCCTTTGAGGCAGCCGGGCCGGCACTTTTGGAGGCAGGGAGCCCCATCTCCATGCACTCTCACCAGGCCTTTCCGTGCCAGCACCCCTGGCTATCTGCACTTGGGAGGGAGCTCCTGCTAACGCCAGCTTGGACTTTTTGTACCCTGTGGCACCACAGGCCTGTCGCTCTTCAGGTCTCTCTGTTCCCCTCATTTTTTACAGCCCCCCTTGCTCCTTTGCACTCTGCCCCAGCTGTGTTCCCCCAACTGCACCTGGTGCCCTGCTCACCTCCAGATTCTGCCCCTGCTTTGGAGGCCTGCCCTGCCCCTTCTGCACTGGGCCCGGCTCAGGTGTCAGGGAGCCCCTCTCCTCCAGTCCCCCTGGGCAAGTCCTCTGCAGCTCCAGCTTCACAGGCTCTTCTCCAGGAGGCTTGTGGTCAGTGCTGCTCAGGGTCCCAGCACCTGCGGGCGGGGAAGAGTGCACAGGGTAGCAGTGGCGCTGCTGGCACGGGGAAAGCCCTGCTAGTCTCTTATACTGGTCTGGGACTAAGGCAGACGGAGGCTTCAGTTTGTGGAAGAGCAGGGAGAAGGTTGATTCCATGTCCCATAGCTCTTGTCAAGGGCACGAGGCTAGAGATGAGGCCCAGTAACTCTGTCCCAGTCAGGGGTGGTCATCACAACACCATGCAAAGCCAGCAGGGACACGGCTCCCTGGGAACAAGCTTGAGGGATGTTGGTGCTGTCACATCCACATGCTAAGGGGAGGGGAGGGGAAATGCAAGGTTAGTCTACTTCAGGGCAAGGCATCCTACGTCTAAAAAGAGCGGCTTATAAAGGATGGAAGACAGGAATCACCGCAATGGAGGAGTACTCTGCAGGGAGTGAACCAGGAAAGCAAAGGTTGCAACCAAACTCGAACTGGCTATACATATCAAAGACAATACAAAGTCCTTTTTCAGATATGTGGGGAGTTGGAAGAAAAGCAAGGGTAACACAAGACCCCTGCTAAACCAAATCTGACAGCTGACACCCAGAAAAAGCCAACCTGCTTAATGGGTACTTTGCGTCAGTTTTTCCACCATCCCAAAGCGACTGCCCTGCCTAACATGATGCAGGGCAGCCAGGGTGAGGGTGAATTTATATCCTACCTTGCTGTAGACCAAGTAAAGGAACACCTTGAGAGGCTGGATACCTGCAAGTAAGCTGCTCCAGATACTTTACACCCCAGGGTACTTAAGGAGCTGGCAGGATTCATAGCTCGGCCACTGGCATGGATATTCGAGAACTTGTGGCGCTCAGGTGAAGAGCCTAAAGATTGAAAGAAGGCCAGCGTGGTGCCTATCTTCAAGAAAGGGAGGAAAACAGATCTGGGGAACTACAGGCCAATCAGCTTGACCTCAATCCCTGGAAAGATTTTGGAAAAAATTATCAAAGAGATCATTCCTGACAAACTGGCTCATGGCAACATCCTGAGGGAAAGCCAGCATGGCTAAAGCCCTTGACTTCAGAAGGGCCAACTTCAATGAGCTTAGGAGACTAGTGGGGGAGGCACTGAGGGCCCAGAAGGTACAGGAGATGGGAGCCCATGTGGGATAGTTGTACCTTAAGGGGACGATCCTCCAGGCCCAAAGGGTTACAGTCCCTGAGAGAAGCAAGGGGGGTAAGAGTGCTCAGAACCCGCCTTGGCTCAGCAAGGGCATTCAGCAGTGCCGGAGGACTAAAAGTGGGGTGTACAACCAGTGGAAGTGAGGAGCTATCACCAAGGAGGAGTACTCCTCCTCGGCCCGGGAGTGTAGGAGGGCTATTAGGAAGGCCAAGGCAGAGATGGAGGCTCAGGCTAGCGTCCAGGATTAAGGACAACAAAGTCCTTTTTCGAGTACATTGGGAGCAAGAAGAGGGCACCAGGCAATGTAGGGCCCCTGTGAGACACAAACAGTAATCTGGTGGCCACGCCAGACAAGAAAGCTGATATTTTTAATAGTTTCTTTGCCTCTGTTTTCTTGAACAGGGACCGGGACATCCCACCTACCAGAGGTAGGGACAATCTTGGGGATAGCTCTGTCATGCCTTTGGTCAGCGCAGATGTAGTTTGGGATCTTCAGGAAAGGCTGCACATTTTAAAATCTGCAGGTCCAGATGCCCTCCACCCAGGGGTGTTGAGGGAGCTGGCAGGGGTCATCGCGGAGCCCTTGGCCCGGCTGTATGAGCATTCATGGTCATCTGGCCAGGTGCCGGGGGATTGGAAACTGGCTAATGCGGTCCCAATTTTTAAGAAGGGGAGGAAGGAGGACCCAAGTAACTATAGGCCTGTAAGCCTCACCTCGGTGCTCGGGAAGATCTTGGAGAGGATCATCAAGGAGCACATCTGTGGGGGGCCGGCAGGGGAGATCATGCTCAGGGGCAACCAGCATGGGTTCATCAAAGGCAGGTCCTGCCTGACCAACCTGATTGCCTTTTCTGACCAGGTAACTAAATCCTTGGATGACGGTGTCGCTGGGGACATAGTTTTTCTAGACTTGAAGAAGGCCTTTGACACCGTCTCTCACCCCATCCTCATCAATAAATTAAGCGACTACAGCTTTGATACCTGCACAGTTGGATGGGTAAAAAATTGGCTGATGGGGCGCACCCAGAGAG